GAATAAATAAAATTTCTGTCCATAATTGGTGTCAAAAGGCAGGTTAAAATCTGTTGTGATGAGGATTTGTCTTGTTTTAGTAGAGAAATATATTTAAGGTTACAAGACATTAATTTTAGTAGCAGTTGAGGGCTAAAACTCTTGATATATATGTGTATGAGTACTGGAGGATTGCAAAACCCTATCTGCAGCTCAGTGTTCAGGCAGTAACATTGGCTATGTTTTATAGGGGCTATTTTATTTCCTTTCCAATGCTTACAAAAATGCATTGAAAGCAATATAAAAATCCCATGTGTGATACAAAGGGTAAAAATTACCTCTTCATTTCACAGTAAAGCATAAAAAGTTGCTGTTTATCAACTTCTTAATGTGTGAAAACTGCAGGGGAAAAAAAATTAATTATTCTAATTTTTTCCTTTTTTTAAGCTATTTGATGCAACTAAAGTTGATATTTCTGGCAGGCATTAAAAAAATCCTATTAGGGACTTCTGCAATATCTTAGTTTTCTCTCTCTAATACAAATTCTAACCAAAGAATATCAAGGCTAGCATTTTTACTTATCTCTATAGCCAAATACTCAATTAAAAAACTCACAGTAGACTGAAGAATGTCTCTCCCCCAGTCTTTCTCACAGGTCTTCAGTCTCACATAGCACTGTCATTTCCTGAAGTGCCATGGAGTTCTATATCCTAGGACAACTTTTTGTAATTTTTGTCTCTGGATTAGTATTTCAAGGACAATATCTGTATTTCGAGATAGTCAAGGTGAGTGTCCCTTCTTTAATGAAGATACCTAAGCATTATGTGATCTCTTCCTTACCTACATGCATGGTTTTAGTTTGCCTTCCACATACTGCCTCATATTCATCATGTTGCTAACATGGCTCACATTCCTCTAATTTTACTTGAATAGGAATTTTGCATGAGCCAGCAAAGGAAAACCTACATATAAGGAAAACCTTTAGCTCAAAACCAATAAAGGTAGCCTAGAAAAAGGAATATAAAAACGTACATTAGAAGAAACATTACCAAGAAAGGAACACAAGGATCTACTAATTTTCGAGATGTTTTTACATGCTTAACTTAAGCAAAAATAGAAGTTAAGACACTTGCAATAAAATTTTCTTGCAGCCACATTTCTTTTGAAAATATGATAAAGTGACCAATCACAGAAATCATGCCACTCTTCAGAGCCTACCTGTGAATTCAGAGGCTAGATGCTGGAAGCAACTCCATTAAGATGGTGAAGTTTCACCAGCTTGAAATAGATTAATTGAGCTTGGTGAATAACTCTGCCTTAAATTTTAATGACTTGAAACTAGTTTGCTGGAGCACTTCTTGCTTCTGTTGAGAAATGCAGCTGCTCATATCTACATACAAAAAGCCTATTTCCATCTAGACAACCAGTTGAAAAGAATATTTTAACTACCTGGGACATTTGCTCTACATGTTTGAGTAAATAATCTAAACAGCATTTCCAAGCCAGAAGGTTGAGATCTGTTTTATAGGCTGTTGTGTCTGAGAACTATAACGCGATTTACGTGACAATAAAGTAAACGTAGTTATGTGCCAGAGATGCATGATTTGAAGCAATAATGATGACATTAATCTTGATCTTTGTGATATTTTGATAGGCATGATTATACACACATGCTTTTCCACTTTCTCCATGTCTTTATGAGCTGTAATTGCTTATAAAGACTATGAGGCACTGGTGAAAGTGATGTGGTGTGTCTGTATCAACTACTGTAAGTGAAAGTCTACTTTTAGACCATCAAGTGATGCTAGTATACTTTCAGCTACCAAAAAAAAAAAAATTGCTAGAGGATGCTAGTGTATGTGGCTTTTACAAAACTAAGCTTTTCTATCTAGCTTTCCAATCAGCATGCACAGCAAAATCAAGTCTGATGCACTGAATTACACAGGGAGAAGCCATACTATTTAACGTATTGTTCAGTGCACTAAGCAGCTCTAGCGTAAATGGGCTGGGGGGAAGTCTGGACAGTTCAGGAATACAGCTTTTGCAAGGTCATCTTCTCCTGACTCAACCTTTAAGAATATGATTTAAAAGCTTTCTGACTTTCCTCAGCAAATGCCCTTTGGCAGGATTAAACTGCACTGCTGCCAATCCAGCTCAATACCAAGCATGTTAATGAGGTGTCTTGGCCTTTTTATTAATTCTACAAGGAGGGTAGTCCATTCAGCAGTGACTGAGAAGGTTTAATCAAATAATCTCATTGTTCCAAATTTATCACCACAATAAAATAATCTACTAAAGAAATACAAGATGAAAAAACTCATTTTTCAATGCTATATCACTTTATATTAAGAAGCAGTGCAGCCTTGGGGCTCACAGTAGTGCCAACATCTGCCCATATGTGAGTAAACAGCGTATAGGGGTGTCGCTGTTTACAGAAGGGACCTACATAGCACCTCTGCAAATTGTCTGCCCATGATTCTCACTGTTACTCTCACTAAAAATTTATACTGTTAACAGATTTAATTTTTTTTAATGAAGTATTTTGATTTCAAAAAACATCTGGAAAAAAATGTAGTAAGATACAGTCTTTATCCATGACATGATGAAATCCACCCATTGTAGGTGACAAAAAGTTGGAAAGAGGACACCTTTTTGTATATTGTGGGGGGAAGTGAGGTCTGAGTTGCTGCAACAGAATAGTTATAGTAGCTTCCAAAATTATTTCCAGAAGATCTGGAAAAATAAGTATGGTTAATTTACAAATAGGGTTTAAAATGCATACATGGAAGTAAGTGGCTATGCTCCACACTTTGGAACCATATGGCAAAAATGTAATGCCTTTTTGATCTTCTATGCTCACAGATCAAAAATTCAGCTGTGGGTTTTTTAATGTTTCAGACACATGAGCAGCTTCAAACAGCTGCCATTAATTTTATACAATAAAGATTGCCTGTCAAATCAGTTTCCAAGTGTTCCTTTCTCTTCAGAAATCTCTCCTGCTGAGAAATCTGCACAGTCTAAGGCTAGTGTCACACTTTCTGCATCAAACACCTTAGAAACTAGAAAAAACCCCCAGTATGTTTATCTGAAGAGTGAGAATTATCAGTCTTTTCTTGGAGCTAGCACAATATCCAGATAAGCAACTTAAAACTTAATATGAATATTGTGCGCAAATTCACTAAAGCAACTGCCTACCCTGAGCACAAATTCATTAAGAGTTTTCTTTCCAGTTCTTTCTAGAGTTCTTCATTCCCTATTCTCTCCCCTATGTCTTTTTGGCTATTGCTTTTTTTTTTAATTCCTTCCCCCACAGCCTAGCCAGTGTAGACAGCTGTTCCCATGACTTTATCCTCTTCCTTATTCCCTGGCTGTTTGGCTCACTTCTCAGATAAACCTGTGGTACAAGGACAAACTAGGAGTCATACACAGTATCTAGCCTTTCCTTAACCTCAGTTTTGCAGCCCATTATTTCTAGTACAAATAACTTGAAGTGACAGAACATGAAGGGATACCAAGGCTGTATAGCACAGCGATTGACTTTGAAATTCAAGCCTCTGTTTCTCAAAATATGGGCTATTGAAGAGGTCTGCTGTTCTGTATTCTCTGTCATTGACACCTCCTACAGTCCTTTTGGGGTCTCTTGCTGGAAGAAGGAAATGTTACTATTTTTCTGCTCTTTGCATTTCAGTTTTTGATTTGAACTGAAAAGAGAGGCACTGGCAGGGCTTGTATGCCACCAAGATATGATGAGATGTCCTAAATTTTTTTTCCGCACTTTTCATCTAACAACGGATAGCAAAACAAAAAATAGGTCTATTTTCTATTCCAAATAAAAGGGACTTCTATTTTCCACAGTCTCTGTCAAAGAAAGAAAGTGAACAGTTTATATTCAACCACTTCAAAGTAGCAGATTAAAATCAGCTTTCTTTAAAGCAGTACACCTCCCAGGAACTGGGACACTGACTCTGTACGTCCCTTCCTGACTGCAACAGACAGCTACATCGTAATTTCCAGAGTTTTCCTGTTGCTTTCAGCAAGGTGTCATGACAAAAATTCTGATGCTTTTTTGGTTCTGCTATGCATTGCAGAGGTCTCAGAAGAATGCGAGAGCTCATGTGAAAAATGTGCTGCAACTTATCTCAAATTCATCTGACTGCTCTCTCAAGCAGTGTTGGTTTCTCTACTTGAGAGAGCAAGTGTGCTTCTATTGAAAGCAGTCAGGCTGATATTTGCCTATTATTCAGTCTTCCACTTGGCCATTCTCTGCCTGCTGTATCACTTTTTCTTGGTTCTTTGGGTTTATCGAAACCAATTAAAGTTGGTATGAAGTATTTTAAAACATGAATGCAAGCAAATATTATCTAGGATGGACTACAAAGTTTCTAGCTACATATTTTTTTTGTTGTTGATGCAAAATATTTTGTGTGTGAAATGGGTTACATTCAAAGTTGCACTCCTATTTAATCTAAACAGCATACTACAATTAGTCCTACTGATTGAGCTGGAGGTACTCAGCATATGCAGTAGCATTACATTCATGTGGTTGTCAAATTTGACCACAGCCAGGGAAACTGAACAGTTTTGCTATACAAGCATTTCCATGTACTACATAGCACTTTTATCATGTATAGTGTATTTCTGTCCAACACCCAGAAACTCTTGGGGCAGGAATATCTAATTAATGGCTCGGGCTTATACCTTCAGTGCTAAACATAAAAGTACTAGAGAAGCAGGAATATACATCAACTACAGAATTTTCAGTTAGAAGACTACTTGCTTAAATCCCTCCTTGCTTAAGGAGGGAGTTGAGTTTTCTTCTGAAGACTCACTTCCTAGGGGTGATTTTTATGAACTGGAGAAGAAGGAACACATCAGCTTCATGTTGTAGTTTATGCAGTGGTGATTATTTTGTTGCCCAATGAAATATCACTGCTATCCTATTCTAATATGTCACTGTATCCTTTAAATCTAAAACTCTTATCTTGGGGTAGGGGTTGGGAAAAATAAAAAAATGCACTTACCTTTCTCATGAAGTGAGTCGTATTTTGATAAATGTAAACTTCCATCCCAGAGAAACTTCTGGCAAGCTACTATTGATGGGAGGTGAAAAAAAATACAGTTTAAATTATATTTTCCTTTGACATGGCATCAGATTGTAGACAACGTAATGCTAATATATAATAATGGCTGTGCCTTTTAAGAGCTGAGTATCAGTCAAGCATATAATTTCATGTTGTCTGGAGAAAAGTAAAAAGGAGTATCTAACAGGACAGAATAAGTCATCACACTCTGGAATAATTGGTTATTGTTCCCTTGCTATAGGGCTCTGACATTTTAAAAAATACACAATTTCCTAACTATTCTGTGTTTGAATGATTGCAGGTGTTTTTTTAAAGTAATATACTCTCACTAGTGAGAGGTTCAGAAAAGCTGTTTATAGTGGCTCCAGCTTCACGATGCATACAATTTTGCCCACTATTCCTTAAATAGATATATACTTCTTAGCAAATTTTTTCTTTTTCTCTTGTTTCTAACACACAGTAGCATTGCTAGTATACCACAACATTTTTTTCTTCTCATATTCAGAATATTAAACAGCTCCATAAATCTACATATTTCAAATCATATGAAATCCCATACTTTATCTTTTAATGTCATATTGTAATGCCATATTGTAATGTTTCAGTTTTAGGCACAATGCTTAAACATAATTAAAATAATATACATGAGAATTTTTACTTGCATGTCTCCAGCAGCTGCTATTTTTAAAGAAGAAACATCGCTTACATCGATAAGATAAGGTTTGTTGATGTTACCTCTTACTATAATTTTGAAATGTCATATTTATTAAACGTTTTAGTGAACTTTAAAATGTTCACTCCCATGCATTTTTTTTCTCTCTTGGAAGATTCATGCTCACTTCAACTTTGTCAGTGCTGCCACCTAAGCTGTCCAAAGTCACTTTCCTGCATGACAGGAGAAACACCCATCTGTCATTTCATTTGCACCTCGAAATGGTAGCAGCTGGGGAAGAACAAAACAGCAGGAAAATTTTTATTGGATGGAAGAATGAGATGGTTCTGGCCTATTAAAGTGGATATGTGTGTAATAGGGTCTCTGACTTCCACAGCTATTCTCTGGTGCTACAGAAGATGGGCAACTAAATATGTCAGTGATGGAGACAAAATTTCTCGCATGGCTGACCAAATCTGCACCAGCCCATGCCAAGAGGCAGGTGAGTGCTCAGCAGGTGTCAGTCACTATTGGCTGGTCAACAATGTTCAGCTTGCTTGGTTATTTAAACCTTTGCTTGCTCTGAGACTCAGAACTTTATCTCCTGCCAATGTGAATTAGTGCAGTACCAAGCACAGCCAGCCCTGACCTACATTTCTGGACCTATAATTTTGGAAGAATTTGACACTAGATATATGTAGTATTACAGAGAATTCTCAGAATAAATCGTATCCTTGTCCATCACTTAAATCCAGACAGAGCATAGACTTTGCATACTGAACAATGCTGGACTTTGGAGGCCTGACTGAAATGATTAATTCCATTCATGCCTGTTATCAACATTCCTCCCCTAAATGTCCTAAAGAAACTTAAATCACAACAGTGATCAGTATCCTTAGATTTAGTGAGCATTATGTTTTCATCTTAACCATAATCATCCTTCTGTATTGACTTGTGTACCCTGCAAATTGCTCTGTCACTGCTAGTAGGCAGCATCAAACACCTGCACAGTTACTCTCTGCTTGCACTGCTGGACCACTGCTGTTCACCCGTGCTGGGTTTTGGAACTGACCTCCTCAGCAGCAAATATTTTTTCCCCTTCACAGGCTCAAAATAAGGGTTGGATGGGAAACAAAATAAATTTAGTGCATTATTCAGTACATAGGTACTTAAGATTAAAATTAGTTTGACCTTCATCTGCTAGAGATTTCTTTTTACTTTCCCTTTCTGATAGTGATGTGGTGATCCTGTAATGTTACCTTTAGTGACAATGAAAGGTTGCATTTAACTGATCCAGCTCGCTTCCACATTTGATACCTTGGTGGTATAATGTTCCAGGTAAACTGAGCTTGTGCTCCTTTTTTCTCCTTGGACTTGCTTTTTTCCCCCTATGAGATGCACACACACCTACGAAAGAAGGTGTGTGCCTACACTTATCTCTACTTTTAGGTGATTAAATTTTGTGTAAGTACCTATTATTAGATTTTAATCTTATTTTTTTTGTCTTCGTATAAAGTAACATCTATGCTCGCATGTTTATTTAAGTGTAACTGTATGTTTGCCACTTAAGTTGGTCGGCGTGTGTAAAAACCCAATAAAAATAAACGTGGTTTGATAGAAGGCTGTGCGGCCCCGGTGCTGCCTCGGCGGCGTTACGGGGGCAATCAGGTGGGTGCGCTGGTCAGATGGAGCCCACGGTCACTTCAGGGCCTGTCTCGCTCGGGCTGTCATGCACCCCCGCGCTGTTTCCATCTTGCCCCCACCAAGCAGGGCCGGGAAAGCCTTCCCTCCCGGACCGAGCCGGGACCTGGCGGGGGTTCCCGGGAGAGGCGCGGCCGCCCCGCCCCGCGGGCCGCTGGCGTTGGCGGTGCCAGGGGCTCCCCCTGCTGGCGGCCGGCGGGAGCGCGCGGGGTGGGGGGCGCGGAGCGCGCCCTGCCCTGCCCGGCCCCCGCCGCCGGCGCTCCGCGCTCCGCAGGCGGCAGCGGCTCGCAGGCGGCAGCGCCGGCCCGCCCGTCTCCCTGCCCGCCTCCCTCCCGCCCTGTCTGCCTCTCCCGCCGGGTCCAGCGCTAGCGCCAGCCCAGGGACCCTCTGCCACGGGGGCGCCGTCTCCCCCCGCTCCCTTCTTTCCTACCTTTCCGCCTCTTACCCGGCCGGTGAGCGCCGCCGGCTCGCCCCGCCGTAAAGCCTGGGCGCCCCCCAGCCATCGCTGCTGCTCCCCATGGGGATCCGGGAGTTCCCCAACGGCTCCGCACGGGGTAAAGCCGCCACGCTGTGAGTACCGCCGCGGTACGGGCGGGAGGGCTGGGAGGGACGGGGGCACCCCACCCCACCTCGCCCCTGCCGGCGGTGCCGCCCGCTCCCGGGGGTCGCTCCGGTGGAGGGCGGCGAGGAAAGTTGTCGGCGCCGCGGGCGCCGTGCGGGCTCACCTGCCGGCGGGGGTCCCGCTGCCCGCCGCCAACTTCGCCCGGGGCCGGCGGGGGCCGGCGGCGCCGGAGCCGCGGCCCCGGGCTGACGCCCCGCTTCCAACCCGCAGCGGCATGCGACGCTCCCCCGATGTCAGCCCCCGGCGGCTGTCCGACATCAGCCCGCAGCTGCGGCAGCTCAAGTACCTGGTGGTGGACGAAGCCATCAAAGAGGACTTGAAGTGGTCCCGCTCCGTGGAGGACCTCACCAGCGCGTCCGTGGGGCTCACCTCCATCGAGGAGCGCATCCTCCGCATCACCGGCTACTACGGCTACCAGCCCTGGGCCGCCAGCTACAAACGTGAGTCCCTGGCGCGGACGGGCTGGGGGGTTGACAGGACGGGGGCGAGACGGAGCCGGCTGAGGGGTGTGGGTTCGAGGGGCAGATCGCTCTGTCGCTGGAAGAAAGTCGCCCTGTGGGACTAAGTGCTCTCACTCTCGGCGGAGAATTCTGTGCTCGTGTCGTCTGAGTCCTTAGGCAGTTGCTGGCTCACAGGAGCGTGGTGCTAAGAACGATGACAGCTAAATTCTGCTAAGAAAATAGGTCAAATATTTGTCTTAATGTTGCAGGCACACTTAGCGACGCTGATTACGGTGTTTGACAGCTATGTAAGAGCCCCTGCACGTTCATTCACACCCCATTTCCACAAGTAACACGTTACCAGCGTCTTTCTATCGTTTTAGGGGTCTGTCAGTTTTTCACAGCACTTGATCTGAATGATCTGTCTTTTCCTATGTCAAGTGGAACTGTTTTTTCTGTATGTATGCACTTGAGAAAGAAGCTTCCTATAATATAAATACAAGGAAAGACATAACTATATTCCTCCACATAGATGATTTACAAGGGAAGAGTTACCTGGAGTAGTCGAAATATATGAACTAGTATTTTTTGTGTGTAATGCCCCGTTTCTTGCCCATCTTTCGTCACCATGATGGCAATTGTATGAATTAAGAAGTTGTAGAATAGTTTACCAATTAACTGAAGTAATAAAATTATTTTGGTTGTCTTAATGTCATTTGTAACATCACAGGGGTTTTTGTTGTAAAAAGGATTCTGCTGTAACAGAAATCATTGCTTTGCTGGAAGGACTGCCTGATGAAGTGGTTGTTTTCATTTTGTACTTTTCTAATTATTAAGTGCAAATATTCTGAAATATTTACTACTGGATTATCTGTTTGACATGTGCTTAATAATGGAAGAGAATGATACAAGAAAGCGTGGCACACAGTACTGGTTCAGTTTTTCTCTGAAGAAGAGCCACTCCTGGTTGCCTGAAAATAGGACTTTACTAATAAATATTCCAATACTTCTCTGCGAGCCTTTTTTTTTCTTGATTGCAATTATGACAAATATCAGATAGTTGCTACTTTACTCACTGGGAGTATGGTATTTTTATAAGAGCAATTCCATCGCCTGGATTGGGACTATTCTTGAGAGTAAAGCTTATTCAAGTCAGTTTTCAAGGATCAGATCATATGTGGATGCTAAACTGAGTTGGATGTTAATGATTTTATCTGGCAGAGTGACTAATAGTCTAGCTGAAGTCACACTGAGCTGCTATGGCTGAACCTTCTGAAATAATAAAGGTCATGCTGGCTCCTCAATTATAACCTATTTGTTGAAATTTATAACTCTGCCTGAAAAAGTTAATAGCAAGCCTAAGCCTGCTATTCTAGTTAGATTTTCTCTCGTAAGTCATTCTGAATAACAAAATTACATATTTGAGTTATAATGGTGGGGAATAAATATACAAAGTGTCTGAGTTTCATAAATATATGTCTAAAAATAATAGGCTATGTGAAGTTGTTGCCAGTTTAAAATCCAATTTGCTAGGAACATAGAAGAACACGCAGAAGAAAAAACCCATCTCTATGGCATGGC